GTTTGCACACGCGTGTGTGTGTGTGCACACGCACATTTTGCTCTTATGTACATTTTTTTTTTAATGGAAGGATAGTAAAAATGAGACCTATAAAGAGAGAAAGTGGTTGAGGTAGAAAAACTAGGATGAAAACTGAACTTCTCTGCATAAACTTTGTTTTAGGTACTTGTTTTATAGGAACTGCTATGCTGATATTTTACACATAATAAAACAAAAATTAAAAAGTAGTACTGAAAAACTAAATCAACTAGATAATCAAGTTGACAGTTAAACCACATAATGAATAACTTCATATGCCTTTAAAGTACAATAATTTTACTACATATATATCCCTAGTGGCATATACATTAAGGATAAAAAGGAACTGCAAAGAAATTCTAAGTACTATTAGGAATCATTATTAATAATAAAAATGGTATCATTCATTTTAAATCATTATATATAGGATAAGGAAAAAAAGTGATTATACTAATGGCATTAGGCATCAAGATTCTCAACAAAAGAGGAAAAAAAATTACAAAATGTTTTAAGAATCCACAAATTAAAGTTAAGTTGAAAATTATGTGAACTCCATATATTTCTCCTTTTTAAAAAAATATATTTCCTATTTCAGTGCTTTCAGGAAGCCAGAGATTTATGAGACAGAAACACATTTTACCAAAAAGCAAATCATAAAAACTACTGGTCATACCAAAAGGAATAGGAGCCAACTTAAAAGTGCTCCCATTAGTCAATAAGGAAACAATGTGAGTATTAAAAAAAACAATATACTGAAATAAAATATATTATTTTATTAGTCTATAAGTTCATGATAATAATTTAAGAAGGCATGGTTACCTTTGGAGGTTGCTAGGCCACCAACTCATTACTGTAGTCTGAAAATAGATGGAAAAAAATTAAGAATTTTTTCTGGCCTTTCCTAAACAAACTACATTTCAGGCAAATTGCTAATGAGGGCAAGTTCTTCATAAAAGATTCCCAGCTAATAGATTTTGAGGGAACGACAGAATGAGAAGATCACCACTTTGCCACTCCTAATACAATAATGGATTCAGGGAATCTAAATCAATGAAAGAATTTTCCCATTAAGTGACAGCCTCTTGGATAATTTCATGGTGGATAGATTTGGCTTGCAATACCAGAACCCACTACACAGCTCAAATCTTAACATTACAAGAGGAGAAAACTCAGACATTATTGTGCCTCCCTGATAATGCAAAAGATAGTAATTTTCATAATATGAAATGTTCCTACACTGCCCCATCAAAAAAAAAAAAAAATCAAAGTTGGATCTAATCAAGATTCTAATTACAGTGGTTCAACAGAACTTTCTGAAATCATAGAATTATTTTATATCTGCACAGTCCAAACAGTAAACCACTAGACAAACTAACAAATGTGAGTAATGTAATTAGAAAGCCAAACTTCTGTTTCATTTTATTAAACTTAAATAGTTACAACTAGCTGATGGCTACAACATTGAACAGTGCAATTCTAGATCTAACCACTGGCAGAGAGGACACAAAGGGAATAGTTACATATTAAAAAATATTATGTGGTACAATCAGTTAAATTTTAAATGGTAAGGGGGAAAAAGGGAGCTGAAGAAACTGCTGCAGATTGAAAGATTTAAAGGGTGTTTTTGTTTTGTTCTATAACCAGGGACTGAACCCGGGGTGCTTAACTACTGAGCCACATCCCCAGCCCTTTATTTTTTGAGACAGGGTCTCCCTTAGTTGCTTAGGGCCTCCCTAAATTGCTGAAGCTGGCTTTGACCTTGCAATCCCCCCCTGCCTCAGAGGCCTCCCAAACTGCTGGAATTACAGGCCTGTGCCACCATGCCCAGGTAAAGGTTGTATCAACCCTAACACAGCAGATGGATTTTGTTTAGAACAAGCTAATGTAAAAGCACTTTCAGCCACTTGAGAAAATCTGTCCCGTGACTGGATATTGACAGAATGTTCACTAATTTGTATAATGATAGTACTATGGTGATTTTAAAAAATTGAAAAAAAAAAATTCAAACCTAGCTGGAAGCAGGAGAAACTTGGCTATGATAGAATGGACCACAGATGTTGTCCTCACCTGCCACAACATGCATGAGGACAGGAATGACAACTAAGCAAAGGTCTTTTCAATAGGAAGAAAATGACATCAGTACAATTTTTACAAGCAATTTTTAAAACTTGAATCTACATATCTTGTGAAGGACACTGTGACTGAATGTTTATAACTATCTAACCCACTTAAGTTTCACAGTCTCTTTTATCAAACTGATTACTGATAATGAGAGTCAAAAGGCAAGGAGTTCAGGATAAAAATCAGTCTAAAGATGGTACTTCATTCCAAATAAGGAAATATACGCTTTATTGTGTCATTAAGCTACAGCTTAAATATAAATGTAAATATCTGAAGGCAATGTGAAGTGATGATCCTTGGTCTCCTCTTCATATAAAAATAAAACAAAAGTATATAAGCAACTGTATACATACAGGGCATCTAACTATAAATATAGGGCATCGTATACTGCTCTATTAAAGACATAAAATGTGGTGCCTTATGGGAGTTCATAACCCATTTGAATCAAATGTATGAAATATGATATGTCAAGAGCTTTGTAATGTTTTGAACAACCAATTTAAAAAAAAAAAAATGTGGTCCCTTGCAGTGATTCCAGCGAATTCAGGAGGCTAAGGCAGGAGGATCCCAGGTTGGATGCCAGCCGGGGCAACTTAACAAGACCCTGTCTCAAAACAAAGCAAACCACCACCACCAAAAAAAAAAGTGGAGGGCTGGATATGTAGTTCTGTGGGAAAGCACTCCTGGTATCAACCCTGGCGGGGGGGTTGGTAGGTTGTCGGTAGAAGTAATCAGACAAGGCTCAGGAAAATCTGTAAATAAGTGTATTGTAACGCAAGCTGGGGCTGTGGCTCAGTGGTAAAGCGCCTCCTTCACACATGTGAAGAAGCACTGAGTTCAATCTTCAGAACCACATAAAAAAATAAAGGAAATGTGTTCATCAACAACTAAATATATATATATATATATATATATATTTTTTTTTTTTAAATACTATAATGCAACTATAAAAGAAAGCTAGACTATCAGACTCATCTTTACTCCCCTGATGCTGTAAGGGATGTAAGAAAAACTAGATTCTGAGCCTATATTAACTGTCCTCAAGCATCTTCATGATTCACGGTTTATCAAGAAACTGCCCTTTAAACCTTCACTTATCATTTTTTCCCATCCCTCATTTTGTATGCAAGGAGGTATCAAAGCTCTTCAATTCTGCCATATTTCCGCATCTTCTGTACTAATTATTTACGCTTAAGCCACTCCATTCTTTTTTTAAAAAATTATTAACTTTAAAGCCCCATCAGAAAGGAGCCAATATCACTTGCGGTAAATGGAAAAAGTCCCCAGAGAGCCAGAGATCTAGCTAGACGCTGCCTGCAGCCTAGGCAATGGGGTTGCAGCAGGCCCCGACCCTTTAGGGGCTGGCTCTGATGGGGACGAGGGGGCCTAGAAGCAGCTCTCCCACCCCGCACCCTGTGCTGGCCCGCCCGGCACCTGGCGGGACCGAGCGGCGCACCGCGCGGGGCCAGGCCCGTCTAGATGGAGCCGCGGAGCAGAGGCGGCGGAGAGGCCAAGGGGCGGAGCGCCGGCGTGGATTCGGGCCAGCAGCAGCGAGCCTGGCGGCTTGCGGGCTGCTGCGGGATCCAGCAGCGAGCCATGCTGTAGGGAGGTCAGCGGCACCACGGCGCCCAGCGTGGCCGTCGCCTACGGACCAGGAGTCGCCCGCCCCTCGCTGGCCCTCGGTGCACACAAGCGGTTACAGGGCCTCAGGAAGCTCGCCCCCGAGCCTTCCCGCCGTTACCTCGGGCCGGAGGCGCGCACGTGCGTCGCCGCCAACCTTACGTCCAGCCTCGGCGTCGGTACGTTCGTTCCGCCCACTGCCTCCTCACTTGTAATTAAAAAAATGTCTTCTTCCTGACTTTCCCTCCGCGCCAGCAAATGGGTTCACCCACATCCGGGGATCTAAGAGAAGAGCTCGTGGATCACGTGGTCAGAGGGCGTGGTCTGGAAGTAGAGGGTGCTGCCGCGGCCCGCCTACGGTAAGGGATCGTCGCGTCCCCAGCCTGTTACTTGGAGAAGCAGGAACGCCTTTGTTCCTTAGCTTCGGACTTTTCCTCAGTCCCAGTGGATGAGGCCGAGGCCCTCATTCACCCTTTGAGCCATTTTCCTTGCTGCACGCTGTGTCGGGTGGAAAGAGACTTCCAGTGGCGATGCTAGCCTCCCCCTTTTTGCTTCCACATTTGGTATATCCAGTCCCCGGACCGGAAGGGGTGGTGGCGGTGGTGGGCGGCTTTACGCGCTCATACGGACGGTGGTAACCTGCGAAGGTCAATTCTAGAAACGGAACGGCTTTGCATGTTTGGGTCGTAGAAATACATGTTTACAATCATGTAAAACACAGAGCAGGACAAAGTGAGCCCCTGTTCCTGGGAACGCTCCCATTGCATGTTTGGAAAGACGTCTGAACAGTGTGACTATTTCCCCAATTGGTACCATGCATTGCGCCCAGGGATCTGTGGGACCAGTGGAGAACTAGGTTCTGGCACCCCGCTCACCCTGAGGTTTGGAGAACGCCCCCTGAAGAAGGCAACCTCGGAAATGATTTCTACACTGATGTTAGCCGGAAACACGGGGCGGGGGGTATTATGGCAGACGTTGAGACTCACATGTGTAATAAAAGTTTGTTCAGAAAACTGGGAATGGCAAGTGCTTGGGACAGCTGCCGTGAGCCGGGCATTGCCTGTTTATTGCTTCCTGCTTTTCCAGCCCGTTAAAGGCAAAAGCATTTTGGTGTCTGACCCTGGAAATGGGCCTAACCCCCAAAGAGCTTATGCCTGCGTTGAATTTGGAAGAGATGGAAGGGCGGAGCGCGGGGGTAGGGGTAAGTGCAGAAGCTGGAAATAGTGACAAGGTTGGAGGTGTTATGAAGAGGAACAGGTGAAAAGGGATTGAGGCCAAATTGTGGGAATATCTGTTAGGGAATCATCTGTTTGAAACAGACATGACAATCAAGAGGTGAAACTACTTGGCCACGGAGCTGACTTCTTTAATGGATCCCATTCAGGACAGAAACCCTGCTGAAGCTGGAGCGATTGGAGAACACATTTTAAATAAAGGTGATATTTAAATAAAGGTGATATTCCTGCTGGACCAGGAAGGATCAGCAGAGGAAAGTGTGAAGGGGATCCCGGGGTACAAAGCAGAAAGGACATAGGAGTAGATTAGGTAATGGAGAGCTTTCATAGAACAGAGACTCCAAAAGGATAACTAAGCTGACAGGTAGAGACTGTTTGTAAGTTTCCTACACAAAGGATCCCTCAGCTACTATTGAAATAGTCACTGGGTAGTAGTGGGTTAACCCATTAAATGCCATAATCCCAGATATAGGATACCTATAAAAATTTAAATTGCACAAAAAAATACAACACTTTGGGTGACTTTTGAAATAATATGTCTTTAGAGTTCTGTTCTTTTGATAAAGTAATAGGTGAATGATTAGAGCATTAGAAAATAAATATGGAATATATAGGAGATTTGTATACATATAAATATACAAGCTCTAGATTATGATTTCCAACCCATTTTAATGCTCCTGTGCCAGTTTTGTTGAAATACTTGTGGAATTGAAAACTTGGGACTCTGGGTTAATTCTGAGAAGTATTAAGATCTCATTTGGTTCACTGGTGGCAGAAGTAGTGGGTATCTTTTGCTTGAATTTTACCTGAATCCTTATCTTGAGAGTAAAAACCCTTCCCCACCCTAACTTGGGTATAGTTATTACCAGGCATTAGAACCATCTTACAATTGTACTATTGGAGAGAAGTACAGATATGTGTGACATAGTTGAATTCTACTCACAAAGAGTAGGGCTGGGGGTGGCGCTCAGTGATAGAGCACTTGCCTAACATGCACAAGGCACTGGGTTCAATCCTCAGCACCACATAAATGTAAAATAAAGATATTGTGTCCACCTAAAACTAAAATTAAAAAAATAAATATTTTTTTAAAAAGATTGTTTTTCACATGAGTTCATAGTCTCAGAAACTAAGAGTAACTGAGGGTGCTGTTGGTGCAAAGGGTTTCCAGTATCTCAAGATTGACATTTTGTAGCTGGGAGCACAGTAGGGTGATGGCTTTGATAGGGAGGCAGGGCCCAGACTTAGAAATAGGGAACCTAGAAATACTACCCAACCCCCCCCCCTCCCCCGGCCTATTAGGTCACAACTGTTCCAGAGAAAAAAAATGAAGAATCAGCCATGGTCAAGGAGCATCTTGACCCCTCCATCCAGGAATCAAAGGGAGTGCAGCATTAAGAGTCAGTTGGGCCAGGCACAGTTGCGGATGTGCACATCTATAATCCCAGCAACTCAGGAAAGCGGAAGCAGAGGATCACAAGTTTGAGTCCAGCCTGAGAACTTAGTGAAGCCCTAAGCAACTTGGTGAGACCCCTGTATAAAAATTAAAAGGGCTGGGGTTATGGGCTGAAATTGTGGCTCAGTGGTAGAGCACTTACCTGGCATGTGTGAAGCCTGGGTTTGATCCTCAGCACCACATATAAATAAATGAAACAAAAGATCCATTGACAACTAAAAAAAAAGGAGCTAGGGTTATAACTCAGTGGTAAAGCACGACTGGGTTAAATCCCCAGTACCAAAAAAAAAGAATCAGATAAGGAATGCTAAAGGGAAACAGAAACTGGAGCATCATGGGGTTTGACCACTGTTATTCACCAGGAACTCAGCCTAGGTGCACTTTTCTTTTCAAACTCATCTACCCTCATTGTTCTTATGAGGAATTTTGTCAGGCCTCTGGCTGGTCACTTTGCTGAGCCCAGCTCAGTGTTAACTCATGTTTATTTAGCCTCTGTGCTCAAGAATGCCAGGGTTTGAGCCAAGGCTGGTAGGGACTTGTGTAAAAACAGTACAGGAAGAGCTAGAGCTGCTGAGAGGAGTGGCAGGCAGGAATCAGGGACTCGTCAAAGGCATCACGAACAGGGAAAGATGAATGTGAAAGTTAAAGAAAAGCTATATTTGGGTGCATTGTATGTAAGGGCTTTCTCTAGAGATGTGTTGGCCTCCTGCCAGACTCTGGGACACTGGGCTATGTCCGCCCTATATTCACCATAAAACAATTGTCAGCTAAGGTGGGGAAAGAACCGTGATCTTATAAATAAGTTGTCACCTGATCCATACAAAATGAGCCTTTCTTGGGGTGATGTCATGCCCAGAAACAGGTCCAGGCTAAAAAGCCTGACGAATTCTAGTACTGAATTATACCAGCGCCTCAGTCTTCATGTTGAAGAAATAATCTCTTTGGTTTATAGATCTGACAAAATCAAAGCTACGGGAAAATGGACAGTGAGGTCCAGAGAGATGGAAGGATCTTGGATTTGATTGACGATGCTTGGCGAGAAGACAAGCTGCCTTATGAAGATGTTGCAATACCACTGGTAGGTTGTGATGTGCGCTGAGCATGATGGGTTAAAGTTAGCTGGCAAAACTTAGCGACCGTGAGATATTAAAATTAACTAGTAGGACAGAAAATCAGCATTCTCTCAACTCTCAAAGCCTCTGGAGAGTATCTAGCCCAACTCATTGTAGTTATTATTGTTGTTTGGGAAAAAATGGGGATTGAACCCAAAGGGATTTTACCACTGGGTCACATCCCCAGCCCCTTTTTTTAAAAATTTTATTTCAAAACAGGGTCTTGCAAAATTGCTTAGGGTCTCATTAAATTTCTAAGGCTAGCCTTGGACTTGCAATCCCTCCTGTCTCAGCCTCCTGAGTCGCTGGGATTGCAGGCATGCATCACCACACCGTAGCCCAACTCTTTATTTGAGGAGAAATGTGGTTCAGAGAGCTGACATGCCCTGCTCTGTTAGGGGTCATACCAAAACAGGAATCCAGATTTTTCTGGACCATCCTTTGTCCACCACACCAAAGCCAGATGTGAACTAAGCTAAGAGTTTAGGGTCTGAGGCAGGAATAGGAGCCGCAGCACGGTGCTCCTTCCTTCCCTGCCTTGGGCTTGTCAGTTGGCTGACATTTTGAGAAACTCATGTTCTTGGAACACATACCTACCCTAGGTTCCCTGGAAAATATTCAGGTGATACCTGGCTTTTCTTCTTTTTCTTCATTTGCATTTAGGCCAATAAGTTCCTAGAATACTGTCCTTTCCTGATCTCTGGAAAATTCCCCTGAAAGGAACTTCTTACAACATCTTCATTTTGCAGGAAAGAGTAGAATCAGAGAAGGGAACTTGTCCAGAATCTGGCAGCTGATAAGTTGGACTTCATACCTTGGTCTGTAAAGCTCCAAATCCTGGCCTGTAAATTTTGTTCATTCATTCATTCAACAAGCATTTCTTTGTGCCTACTCTGTGCCCTAAGACTCTGAATGTAGGATACAGTTCATACCCCTGGGAGGGCTAGAGAGGCAGCAGGTAAATAGTGTTATAAGTGTTCTAAGTAGGCACATGACTAGCCATGTAGCATAGAGAAGGCTGATTGCCTGGCAGGCAGCAGAAAGATGTCAAAGGGGCTGTCATGATTAAGCTGGATCATTAGGAAAGAACAGAATTTTACTGAGAGTGGGCAAAGGCCCTGCAGCAGAGGGGAGAGAAGTGTGCAGGCCCAGAGTCTTGAAAGACTCCGTGCTAGACGTGCAGGGTGCATGGAGACTACACTTGTCATTTAAGTAGGCAGAAAAGCTGGACATCAATTTTGACAGATTATCTCTTGCCACACTGAAGTCTTCCACTGTGGAGACCTAGGAATGAATGGTCTTCATTCCACGCCATGCTCAGATTTGAGTTTCAGAAAATCAGTACAGCGCATTGTTAGAGATGGCCCCATACAAAGAAGAGGACAGGCAAGACCAATTAGGAAGCTACTGCAGTGACGTAAATAAGGGAGGCAGGCTGGAGCAGAGTGAAGAAAATGGCAGAGCCAGGTGCAACGGAGCACACCTGTAATCCTAGCTGTTTGGGGAGACTGAGGCAGAAAGATTGCCCATTGAAGCAATTTAGTGAGACCCTATCTCAGAATAAAATATTTTAAAAGGCTGGCCCCCGGATTTAGTCCCTGGTATACCATGAAAATATTGGAGACTTCTCAAATTTTGGACTTGTTAATGACAAGATTTGGGGACCATCTTATGTGAAAGGGATGAAGGAAAGGGAAATTTCCCTGCCATCTCGCAGGTCACAGCCTGCACTGTTGCTAATTGATATGTTTCCCCTTGTCCTGTGATTCTAAAGCAGTGTGTATAGTTGGCTTTTGCTACGTAACATATCACCCCAAAATTTAGTGACTTAAAACAACTATTTATCTCATGGCTTTAAAACTCATTTGGGCTGATCTTCTGGCTGCACCAGCTCAGCTCATCAATGCTAGGCTTCCTTATGCTGCACGGTCAGCCAGTAGACTGACAGCCAGTAGACTGAATAATCTAGGACAGTCTTACACATCCAGCAGTTAGCAGGATGTCCCTGGATGATGGGCACCTGGGCCTTGGTCTCTCAATGATTCAGCAGGCCAGCCCAGATACCTCAGACTCAGGTTCCAAGAGCAGCATCAGAGGGAACTGCAGAGCCTTATAGAGCTTAGGCCAAGAACTTACCCACAGGCTCCACAGCTGCATTCTGCTGGCCAAAGCAAGTCACATGGCCAGTCCAAGTACCGGATTAGGGAAATAAACACCACCTTTTGATAGGAGTAGTTGCAAAATAGCTCCAGCCATTTTTCCAGTGTACCATCATGGATGGCTGTTTTTACGATACTTTCTGTTTTCTAGGCAATTGTGCAATTTTATGTGTTGGTGTTCATTACCAGAGACAATAGTCACCAAATGAGACACAAGCGTATCAGATGGGATGAAATTAAGCAGAATTAACTGCCTCTGACTTAAGTACTTCAAGGACCAAGGACCTTTTTATTCTTTGTCAGCTATTAGTTAGTAGGGCCAAATATTCTTAATCTAGTCTCTTAATCTTACGTACTTTCCAATCTGTGCAAGTATGTTTGAATCTCAGTCTTATATTTGTAGAGCAAGATGGATGTGATTCCAAAACACTTGTATACATTATAAGTAAATATTTAATAAACATCAAATGTAATCTTAATGGGGGAAAAACATATGCATTACAAATTGGAATTCAGCAAGAAATTGTTAAGTGTGAATAGTACATGATAGTTTGCTGACCCTAAAACAGCGTAAATTCAGGTAATTACAAAGAAATATGTTTCCATGTGCAGTGGTACATGGCCTGTAATCCCAAAAACTTGGGAAGCTGAGGCAAGAGGATCAACAGTTCAAAATAGCCTCAGAAACTTGGCGAAACTATGACTTAAAGAAATTAAAAGAACTGGGGATGTGGCTCAGTGGTTAAATGCCCACGGTACCAAAGAGGGGAAAAGAAAAAGAAATACATTGTTATCAGTGACCTCTATAAATTTAACTATAAAGTCTAAGGAAGTAATTCTAGATTTTTCTCTAAACCTACCCCACCATGGCTCACTGTTGTCTTTCTGTGTTTTATGTTGCCCAACTTCACCACTAGGGGGAGATCTCTGCGAGGCATTTTTTGTTATTTTTTCTTTTTTTTTGCAATGAGAGAGATTGAACTCAGGGCACTCTACCAGTGAGCCACATCCCCAGCACTTTTAATTTTTTATTTGAAACAGGGTCTCCCTGAGTTGCTCAGGCTGGTTCTCAAACTTACTATCCTCCTGCCTCAGCCTCCTGAGTCACTGGGGACTGAACCAAGGCATCCTGTTACATTTTCAGTGTCCCTCATCACTGCCTCTGCCATCATTTTAACATAAGATGTTCAGAACAGCATAGTTTGGGGATAATTTCCTATATTTACAGACTATGCCAGCAAATCCAGTATCAGTATTCTTTGTGTGTGTGTGTGTGTGTGGTGCTGGGGATTGAACTCAGGGCCTTGTGCATGCATGGCAAGCACTTTACCAACTGAGCTATATCCCCAGCCCAATCCAGTGTTCTTTTAAAACATACTCCTCCCAAAAAAGATTAGTGTTCCTCTTTCAGTGGTCCTTTCCACTCGTAATACAAGCGAAGGCTCTGGAGCACTGGAGGCCCTGAACAGTGCTGAGCACTTGATCTAAATTATCTCATTTAACTTACCCAAGTCCTAGGACATTATGGTGACCTTTTCCTCCCATTTTCCAGAAAGGAGGCAAAGGCCCTGAAGGTTTGAATACCTTGCCCAGGTAACCCAGCAAATGGTAGCATCCTGGCTTAGGTCCTGGTTGACTTCTAGAAGCTTCTGCCCTCACCCCTTGCCACACTGCCTCCTGCATAAATGCCAGAGTCCCGGTGCCTGCTGTTCCCTCCATTGTTCCCATGGACTGGGCCACGTTTGAGCAGTGTTTCCGATGTTTTCCTCCAATCTATTTATTTTGGCTCTTTCCTTAGAATATACCTAGCAATTGTGCCACACATTCCTAGGAACTCATAGGTTTTAATTCTAAGTACTCTTGAGTTTTAAGATATTAATGCAGAGTATTGTTCTGAATGTCACTGTACCTTTTCAGAATGAACTTCCTGAACCTGAACAAGACAACGGTGGCACCACAGAATCTGTGAAAGAACAAGAAATGAAGTGGACAGACCTGGCCTTGCAGTACCTCCATGAGAATGTGCCCCCTGTTGGAAACTGACTCTTGGCTCCTGTCTCATGGATGGATTTTCAAAAATATAGAGAGATAAAATGTTTTCTTTTAGTCTCTTTATTCAGATCTTTGAGTAATAAATCAACAAAGTGTATACCCTCTTAATGTGAGGCAGCAAAGAGCAATGTGAAAATATTCAGAATGGGGGCTGTGGCTGTGGCTCAGAGGTAGCGCACTTGCCTGGCATGTGTGAGGCACTGGGTTCGATTCTCAGCACCACATATTAATAAATAAGTAAAATAAAGATCTATCAACAATTAAAAAAGAAAAAGAAAATATTCAGAATGGGAAACAGATTTCTCAGGAATGCAGAATATTTGGCTCTTTAAACCTTAAATTCTTCATTCACTCACTTGTGTTTGAGCATGACTGGTTAAACATTTGCTTTTAACTCCAGTTTTGCTTTACTATCAAAGTTTAACACTTTGAAACTACTTACATATGTTCTGTGACTTAAGTGGTTGAAAATATGAGAGGGAAAGGCAAAGAAACAGGAAGCCAGACATAGGATCCATGCCTTCTCGTAGTTCCCCACCTTGAGAAGCCTTCTGAGCTTTGGGCCTGTGGGCGCATATGCTCCACAGAGGCTGTGCTATTTACTCATTACTGAGATTCCTGGGATTTTCCATGCCATTTTCAAACTATAAATAAATTTACAGATTAAAAAGTTATCTGATCATTACCTCTGCTCTCCTATAGCTGCCTTTGGTACAACTGGAAACCATCTGGCTAGATAGGCCACTAGTTTTATCCAATAGTGGCATTTCTTATTTTCTCAAAGCCCTTTCATATATAACCAAAACACCACAAAGTCAGTATTTAGCCATATATTTTTATAAAGAAGATATAATTTGCAAAACACATTGATATATGTTTGTCTCCTGGGATTAGCTCATCTTGTCCTTTTTGTTTACCCAATTTCATTTCATTTTTTTGTGTGTCCTTGTGTGTGTGTGTGTGTGTGTGTGTGTGTGTGTGGTGCTAGGGATTGAACCCCGGGGCCTCATCATGCATGCTAGACAAGCCCTCTGTCACTGACCTACATCCTGAGCCCCGCTTTACCCAGCTTTTAAGAGGAAGAAGAACATCACAATGAGTTGCTTGTAGGATTTCAACCAGAAACATGGTCCTAGCAGCTCTCCACCAACCCACACAGCAGGTTGGTCTGCTCCATTCATAGCCCAACCTAGAAGCCACTTATCTTCAGAAGAAAGACCTCTCAAGACACCAGTTCCCTCAATAACTGAAAAAATGCAACCTCATAGGGAAGGGAAGTATAATAGGGAAGAGATTTTATACCAAGAGAAAACTAAGCTTTTCAAAAAATGAAAGTACACAGAAAGCCACAGTTCTTTCACATTCTCATTAAATGATACCTTTTCTCCAACTTCTCTGTGGTAATAGTTAACATACTAACATCTAGGAATTTGGCGAATTATGAGTCCAGCCAAGCCTTTCCTTGGAACAGATAAACAAAGCTGTCTTGACCGAATCTGAAATGGATTATGAGGCCTGTAAGACAGCGCTTGTTTTTTCTGCTTAAGACCCTGATCTTAAAATTGCCACCCTACCCAGGAATGATTACATAATCCAAGGTGGTAACCTGCAATGTGGCATCAAAAGGGTGGCTCACTGTATCAGGAATTCAGTGACCCAAGCTTGGGCCACTCAGATTCTGTCAACTGGAGCTTTGGAGTCTGTCCATACAGGACTGGCTTGAGGATGATGGACTCACAAGAGGCCCAGCTTGTGGTATAGAGTGGCTTTCTTCAACTGTGCTTACCAAAACACCCAGAGGAAAGTGGGTGCAGAGGGAGGTCAAAGGGCTATGTAGGCACCTGGTTCCTGCCAGCTTCCCAGTTAACAGCTTGTTGTATGAATTCAGCTTGACATGACTGAGCCATCCTGAGCATAACCACTGTGATTGCCACTGAATAACCTTAGCTGGTCTTCCCCACACATTCCCCAGCAAACTGTAAATAGATTTAAAAAAAAAAAAAAAAAAAAACAGAGTCCTGTGTGGAGCTTTACAACCAGCCCCTGGCTCCTGGCATGCACCTGACTGATATTATCCTAAGGTAAACCAGGTCTATTCCCTCCAGGACAAAGTCACTTCTGTCCTAACCTGTAAGCATGAGGCCTCTTTCTGATTGGAATTGTAGGAATCCAGCTGGTCTTGCTGTTGCTAGGACCACACTTCTGTCAATAAGTTCCCCAATAAACTACCCTCTGCAATTCTAGATCTAGATTTTCTTCAGTGGGGAGACATAAGTATTAAACCAATAGCCAGACGAATTTGTGATTTCAAATCGTGACATGCTAAGAAAGAGAAATAGAGGATGTGACTTTGTTTGGATTCCTAGAGGTAAAGCCTAAGGTGGGCTTTCTTGTGCAGGTGAAGTTGTGCTCTCTGGAGGACCATGTGAAGAATGCAGGATGGAGGTGGGAAAAATGCTGAGCAAAGAAGTGGTTTCAGCTCAAGGTTTTCCCCACATTGAGGAAACAAGCCAAGTGCACTCATCATATGAATGCTCAGCCATTCGCTCCACCCTTCCTGCCATCCCCAGGAAACAGCATAACTCTTTGTCCTCTGTAGAGGACATAGAGCAAGGTGTCTTCTGGCAGCCAACACAATAGCTGGGGAATGGGTACCAACAGTGCCCACTGCTGAGTGTATGGAGTGTATGACCAGGGGAACCTGATTTATACTTATATTGATTTATAATCAAGGGGAGACCTGATGATAGGTAGCTTTGCACATAAATTTAATATACTAATTTAGTTTCTGAATTTGTTCCACTCTCCAAAGAAGTGGTCAAGTCCTTTATGCTTCCTATGCAGAGCAGGAAGCAGAGATGGTCGAACACACCCCCACATCTTGTTTGGGAAGCAGGGGAGAGTAGGAGGGAAGGGGGTCTGAAGCCAGGAGTAGCACCAGGTGTGCCCCCTTGCTGGTTGGGGTAGATAGGAGTCAGAGGTGAGCTGTGGGAGCATGAGGTTAAGGGGGTAACTCTGTAAACCGGGCCCACTATACTGACCACCACATGCTTTCATTAAAAAAGCAATTTAGCAAGAGCCCTGCCTGGCTTAACTCTATAGAAAATATTACATTCCTCAGCAAGCAACCTGTTATCTACAGAAGAAATGCAGGCCTAAGATGCCTGTAAGAACAACACAAGTTACCCCGGGGGATGTAGGGAGATTTTTGTGATCCTTACACAGACCAGATTCCAGAACTCAGAGAGATAAGGATAATTCTCCGTAACCATAAAATCTGTAAGAACAAGTTCCAAATAGAACTGGTCAGTGTGGGTTAAAATGACCTACAGTTGTTCTGTACAGCGGTGGGGGGCGGGGGGGGGGCTCAAAAGTTTGATGTCACTCAAAAGTCAAGAGGTGAACTTGGGAGGGACTCTCTGGAAACTTCTCTGGAGCCCCAATAAAACTGGAGGGCACAAGGAACATGCCATCCTTCTCTCTGAAAGACACACTCTTTCCCTTGACAATGTCTCCTAAATCCTCAGTGTAGCAAAGTAGCACCAAATAGATTTATTTGCTTTGAAGAAAATAGAAAAATTATATATATATATATATATATATATATTTTAATACTGGGGATTGAACTCAGGGCACTTGACCACTGAGCTACATCCCCAACCCTACTTTGTATTCTATTTAGAGACAGGGTCTCACTGAGTTGCTTAGCACCTCACCTTTACTGAGGCTGGCTTTGAATTCATGATTCTCCTGTCTCAGCCTCCAGAGCGGCTGGGATTATAGGCACACGCCACGAGCCCAGCTGAAAAATGTGATATTCTTTGCACCCTTCTAGTGTGCGTAACAGATGAGTAAGGGTAGACAGGAGAAGTGTCAGGATGTGAGAATTGATTACACAGAAAGAAAAGTCCCATGAAGTCCAGAAGTGGGACTGGCATCACAAGAAAGGTGACTGAGGAGACAAGGATCTTGTTAAAACTTTTCCTTAGTCATCAAAAGAGTTTAACCCGTGATGGGTGAATGGCCCAATCAAATTTTTTAAAAAGTATAAGTCACTCTAGCTGGACATGGTAACACATGCCTATGATCTCAGCTGTTCTGGAGGCCAAAACAGGATGATTTTAAGATTGAGGCCAGTCTTGGTAACTTTTTTAGACACTGTCTCAAAATAAAAATTTTTTAAAAGGGTTGGGGATGCAGCTCAGGGGCAGAGTGCTTGCCTAGCATGTGCAAGGACCTGGTTTAAGTTCCCAGTATACAGGAAATACACACACACACATACATGTATATACACATTTCTATATGTGTGTATCACTCTGGAAGATGGATTTGGGCAGGAAACAAAGAGCTTTGCATTGGTTTAAGTGGGAGATGATGATAGCTTGGACCAGCTAGATGGAGGTGGGTATAGAAGGACTTGAGTTGTCCCTTAGTGGTAGACATGACCATTTTGCATTGCAAGGTGTTTCATGAAGCCAGTACCCTGGGGCATGGCTGTATAGCTCTGAAGAGACTCATATGCTCCTCATGACCCAGGGCTGGATTTGCTGAGCTGAACATAGGACAATAGATACAACCCGTGTTCTCCAGACTGATTCTGAGTCCAGGAGCTGCCCATTTTTTGAAGCCCAACTTAGACCCACACATAGCACAGGTGCCATGATTAATCTGGCACCTCTAAGTGCTGAGGATCTCTAAGCCCTTGAATTCACTTGTGAGGTGAATATCATTGTCCTCCTGGATCAGGAGATGTGACTTAAATGGCTTGTTCAAGTTAAAGGACTTATTTATTTCAAGTCACTCAAACCACAAATGCATTCCAATGTAGGCTGTTGGATCTCAAAATCTGTGCTCTCTCCCAGTACCACGTCACCTCCTCTAGCAAGACTCTGTGGATACCTCTTTCTGAAATGGGAAGAAAATCCTATCAGAACACTCAGAATTTCCAAATATTTGTCTCTATAATGGAGACAGAGAACCCAAAGAATTTTTATTAGGAAATTGGGAGACATGAATCATTCAAAAGTTCAACCTATTACCAAAGTC